GTAGAGTTCCTAAGGTCGTGCTCAACTTCCTTGTCTTTTTCTAGGTCTGAATCTACATGTGCTTCAGATTCTGAAGAGGATGAAGATGACGAGTCCTCATCATCAGACACCTCAGTTTCTGCATCCGATGCAGGGTCCCAGTCGCTTGACCTGGCAGGTATCAAACCTGACCAGAATCTGCCTTCCAATGGCACTAGAGGTGCGGTTAAAGCCGTTTCTGCCACAGGATGCTGCGCACCGCGGCTCTGTGGCGCCAGAGGAACCCAACCACCACGAATAGCTTGCAACACACGCAACTGCGCACGAAGAGCGGGAAGAACATCATCACGCGAATATTTGGTTACCATCTTGCTGCCAGAATCAACCGAGCGATGGTGGCCCCACAATCGCCGCTGGTGCACATCTACATCTAATTGCAACCCCCAAGATAGACCTGTTGTTTTCAAGCTGTGCAGCGTGTAGCTGCTGGCTTGAGCAGAAGGGACCCCACCCACTGATACTAGAAGACGCCGAAACATACCAAGTGCATAAGCGAAATTTGCGCGAGCTCCTCGTGGACCTGCCAAAAGAAAATCGCATTCCTTCATAGCTTCGCACAAACGCCGGAGCCCGGCATCCCAAGTAGAGAAAATTCCAAAACACAGCAAGCCAAACGGCATGCCATCCTTTGCCGATTTGCAGCGATAACAGCGGCCACGAGCAATGCTATTTTCTATTTGCAAAGAATCACGTTCAACTTGCTGAAGATCAGAAAAACGAAGCGCCCCCCAAAACATCACTAAAAAGGCTACTAGGGCCATAGTTTCCTGAGTTGCACCAACGGCCAGGTCTTCGTGAATGCGCGCTTCAAAAGCTGCAATTACCGATAAAGGCAAAGGCAAAGCTTCTTTCCGTGCTTGACGGGACATTGATGAATCACACCAAACCGTCACAACAGGTTTGGAAAGCATGTCAACCCAGTTTTGCCAACCCATCAATGTAGCAACAAACTTCAAGGCGCACAAGGTGTTCTTGGCCCCACCTTTAGATTTGCCGTTGGTCACGAGTCCCTGCAAAAAGGCCACCATGTCACCTTCTGGAGGCTCAAACACAGGCCATTCATGAAGTTGCGCAAAATCAACCCAAAGACGCCAGTTTGGCAAGTGACGGCGTAGTGTAGCGTGTGCTTTTTTCCGCAACAACCGCTCCAAAGTACTAGCCGCGAATTCACCCAGATTCGTAAAGGCTGGAGCTAGTGGAAGCAAAGGGTTCAGCAATGTTGCCCACAAGCTTGTCCATCTTGACAGTTCAACTTCGTCAGCATGTTGCCCTGAGCCTGTGCCAGACAAAATTGAACATGCAGGTACTGGATGAACCTTCGCCTTAAACCCAGCAGGCGCAGATGCACTGCCAAGAGACTGCTGCAGAGGAGCCAGCTTAGGCCAAAAGGCCCAGGAATCCCCAATAACACGGTGAAGCGGTGCCGGGCTTGGCATAATATGGGCCAAGGCCCGCACGCTTTTTTGCGCGATCTAGGGCGCAAGCAGCAAACATAAAAGAGAAAACAACAAACAGGCAAGCGGGTTGGAAAGCACTACCTCTCAGGGAAAGGAGAGATGAACAACTACTAGCCCAACCAGGCTTGCCACTAGCTGCAAAGCATGTTCAGCCAACTCATGAAGCAACAACAGGGTAAATCCCGACAAACCAACAAGGTATGCAAGGTGAAGTTAGAGAGAGTGGTGTTCATGTGTGCAAGCCCACATGAAAACAGCACAAACTGCCAAACACAAACAACACACTTTTTCCCTGCAAAATACTTTGCCACACAGGCATGGCTGCAGCCAGCACACCGGGCAACAAGCAGACCGCAGCCAGCCCAGTCCACCAAAGGGTGGTTTTGGGTGTAGAACAAGCAAAACATGCCTCAATTGAGCAGGCGCTTTTCTACAGCTTCCCTACCACCCAACCAAGCTGCCAAAGCAGCAGGGCTGCACATGTACTCCGAGCAAGCAAGGCCAACACAAGCAACACAGAAAAACAATTCACAGCCAACACACAGGACAACATTCAGTTGGGTTCCACAGGCGCACTAGCCGTATCCCAGCCCGGCCCAGTGCCCCTTGGCCCCCACTGCCGACATTATTGTCAGAAGCGTTTTCCACAGAAGGAATTCCAGCACAAAATCGCAAAAGAAAAACTGCCACCAAACCTGCCGCAGCCGCCACAGTGCAAACTTACGTACAAACTATGTCGCAGCGAGAAGCCAACAATGTGCTCCTGTGTGTAAGGTTGCTTTTACCGCTTGTTGGGGCAACTGCTGTCCACTTGCTTCGGAAAATCATGATGTGTGTCCATGAAGTTCACGCAGTGCCAATCTTTCAAACTTCGCAATTAGAAGGCAATGGACCTAAGGTGTGCAAGCAAGCGCTGAAACAAGGATTCAGATTGAATTTCTACCAATGTCTATCCATGTGATTTGGATTTCCGCCGTCAATGGTCACACTTTGGTTGAATGAACCCAAGATATTCTCTAGGTCGCATGTACTAATTAACAAGATCTCGCACGTGTCTGCGGATAGTCGCAGCTTCATGAAACTGCCACTGTTTCAAGATCATGCGGTTTCGTGGAAGAAGGTTGCTGCACAAGAAAGGAAAAGGAGCAAGTATGGCCTTGTAGCAAGTATGGCATATACGTTTCACCGCTTGCATCCCACCATTGCAAAGTTTGATTTGGGTTGCTGCTGAGCCTTTCTCGGAGGCTTGCTGTTCTGCATGCATCGGGCTTTTTGTACCTAGCTCAAGCACCGCATCTTCGGCGATACCTGCAAAACATCATTGGCCAACTAACTCTGGCCCTGCTGTCATGGGATCAAAAGCTCACATCTCCAGCGTTTCTTCTGCGGCGCGCGTTTTTTGCCAAGCTTGACCACATATTCTCGCACTGTTTGCGCCTTTGCTTTGGCAGCATGAGCTGCTTCTTCTCGAAGGGCTTCATAATCTACAACTGCCAGCAAACATAAAGGCTATATCTAACACCCGCTTGTTCTTGGTGAGCATGCATTACAACAGCCATCCTGGCGCTGACGCAACAAAACCAAATGCCCACGTTCACCCGTGCAGGGAAGGGGAAGGAGAAGCAGTGCGCACCGCAGAATCCCCACGCCGCTTCGCTCAGCCCACTTGCCAGCTGCCACATGCACCAGCCAGGCAGCAAAGCATTTGCCAAGCAGCACAACCCAGCCTGCGGCTCAATGTAGCACCATTCCCGGCCGCTGGCTCCTTGAGGGTTAGGCGCCTGCAGGGCGAAACAGCTGCAGCAAGCACACCAGACATGAGTGAGAGGAAAGCGTCTCAGGCTGTGACGTCAGTGCAGCCAGTGTAAACGCGTGAGTCCTCTGAGCATACAAGTGAAAACCATGGTTGCACGCGCTTAAGCAGGAAGCAAATTCTCAACTCTCAACCTGCACAAAGGCTGCTGCGCAAAGGCGCCCATCCACCTGCTTCTCACAAAGAAGAAAAACAAAAAAGCCCGGCTGCGGCATCAGCATCATTCGGCAAAGGCTCTCTGCACCAGGCGGCGATGCTGCTGCCGATACTCCGTTAGCGGTTTGAGCTGCTCTTGCGACAAGCTATCGGCGCAGCCAGGGCCAGCACGATCACAAGGCATCGCAAAGAACAATTGCAGACCATTGTGCCGTCAAATGCGATTTCAACACCCCAAAAACCGAAACAGGCTCTGCAATACAGCCACGACCGAGAGATTTCATGCACTCACTTTTTTAATAGATCCCCCACCGTAACCAGTGACCTTCAAGCACCCCTTGACAAAGGCCAGCACGGCCACGTGTGTTCCCATGATAGCTCCACAGGCATGCATCAAAAGCTGATTTCCAACCCACTATACTAAAAGGCACCAAACTGCCAAACACAAACAACACACTTTTTCCCTGCAAAATACTTTGCCACACAGGCATGGCTGCAGCCAGCACACCGGGCAACAAGCAGACCGCAGCCAGCCCAGTCCACCAAAGGGGGTTTTGGGTGTAGAACAAGCAAAACATGCCTCAATTGGGCAGGCGCTTTTCTACAGCTTCCCTACCACCCAACCAAGCTGCCAAAGCAGCAGGGCTGCACATGTACTCCGAGCAAGCAAAGCCAACACAAGCAACACAGAAAAACAATTCACAGCCAACACACAGGACAACATTCAGTTGGGTTACACATGGCGCACTAGCCGTATCCCAGCCCAGCCCAGTGCCCCTTGGCCCCCACTGCCGACATTATTGTCAGAAGCGTTTTCCACAGAAGGAATTCCAGCACAAAATCGCAAAAGAAAAACTGCCACCAAACTTGCCGCAGCCGCCACAGTGCAAACTTACGTACAAACTATGTCGCAGCGAGAAGCCAACAATGTGCTCCTGTGTGTAAGGTTGCTTTTACCGCTTGTTGGGGCAACTGCTGTCCACTTGCTTCGGAAAATCATGATGTGTGTCCATGAAGTTCACGCAGTGCCAATCTTTCAAACTTCGCAATTAGAAGGCAATGGACCTAAGGTGTGCAAGCAAGCGCTGAAACAAGGATTCGGATTGAATTTCTGCCAATGTCTATCCATGTGATTTGGATTTCTGCCGTCAATTGTCCTACTTTGGTTGAATGAACCCAAGATATTCTCTAGGTCGCATGTACTAATTAACAAGATCTCGCACGTGTCTGCGGATAGTCGCAGCTTCATGAAACTGCCACTGTTTCAAGATCATGCGGTTTCGTGGAAGAAGGTTGCTGCACAAGAAAGGAAAAGGAGCAAGTATGGCCTTGTAGCAAGTATGGCATATACGTTTCACCGCTTGCATCCCACCATTGCAAAGTTTGATTTGGGTTGCTGCTGAGCCTTTCTCGGAGGCTTGCTGTTCTGCATGCATCGGGCTTTTTGTACCTAGCTCAAGCACCGCATCTTCGGCGATACCTGCAAAACATCATTGGCCAACTAACTCTGGCCCTGCTGTCATGGGATCAAAAGCTCACATCTCCAGCGTTTCTTCTGCGGCGCGCTGTGCTTTGCCAAGCTTGGCCACATATTCTCGCACTGTTTGCGCCTTTGCTTTGGCAGCATGAGCTGCTTCTTCTCGAAGGGCTTCATAATCTACAACTGCCAGCAAACACAAAGGCTATATCTAACACCCGCTTGTTCTTGGTGAGCATGCATTACAACAGCCATCCTGGCGCTGACGCAACAAAACCAAATGCCCACGTTCACCCGTGCAGGAAAGGGGAAGGAGAAGCAGTGCGCACCGCAGAATCCCCATGCCGCTTCGCTCAGCCCACTTGCCAGCTGCCACATGCACCAGCCAGGCCGCAAAGCATTTGCCAAGCAGCACAACCCAGCCTGCGGCTCAATGTAGCACCATTCCCGGCCGCTGGCTCCTTGAGGGTTAGGCGCCTGCAGGGCGAAACAGCTGCAGCAAGCACACCAGACATGAGTGAGAGGAAAGCGTCTCAGGCTGTGACGTCAGTGCAGCCAGTGTAAACGCGTGAGTCCTCTGAGCATACAAGCGAAAACCATGGTTGCACGCACTTAAGCAGGAAGCAAATTCTCAACTCTCAACCTGCACAAAGGCTGCTGCGCAAAGGCGCCCGTCCACCTGCTTCTCACAAAGAAGAAAAACAAAAAAGCCCGGCTGCGGCATCAGCATCATTCGGCAAAGGCTGTCTGCACCAGGCGGCGATGCTGCTGCCGATACTCCGTTAGCGGTTTGAGCTGCTCTTGCGACAAGCTATCGGATTGCTGGGCAGCAACTGGCGATGCGGCCAGGGCCAGCACGATCACAAGGCAGCGCAAAGAACAATTGCAAACCATTGTGCCGTCAAATGCGATTTCAACACCCCAAAAACCGAAACAGGCTCTGCAATACTGCCACGACCGAGAGATTTCATGCACTCACTTTTTTAATAGATCCCCCAACCGTAACCAGTGACCTTCAAGCAGCCCCTTGACAAAGGCCAGCACGGCCACGTGTGTTCCCTTCTCCTATACTATAACCAAAGTCTGTAACATACTGCACCTGCCACATTCGCAACGTGCTACGCAAAAATCGCCGTAAGTACGTCGAGAAACAAACGTTAAACCGCATCAAACCAAACGTCGTAAACCCCACTCAACACAAACACAACAAACCAAACATAAAAGTTCAAAAAGGCACAACTGCATGGACATGTCAAGCAAACAATGAACATGCTGAGTGAACGGATCAGTCGGACGAGCATTCTTTTCCTGCAATTGTTTTGCGATTGGTCAGGGGACAAGATCTGTTTTTCTTGCGGTGACCAAAAGGGGATTTCTGACATCGGTTGAAGCAAAGTCCATTCTGGCAGCACTTCCGTATTTCAAAATTAGAACAATGATTGGAACTGTTTTCCAGCTGGACTGTTTCTCCAACCCCCCTTCAATCACAGGACAGCTATGCTAAACGCCCAAGAAGTTCGTTGGGGTGTTCAAAGTCGGTGATGGTATCGATACCTAACAGCTCTAACGCTTCACTACAGTCGTTTCTGCTAGGTCCATCCGCCACATTTGAAAGGCTTGGGACTCGCTCCACCCAACTATAGGTTGGATCCTGAGCATCTACTGCATAAAACTCTCGGATCAGGGTCTTCATGCTCAGGCTAGGTGAGAGCCCCTTGATTACACAGAACCGGGCAGCATCGTTGTCTACCCACCAGATGGTCCTTCTGTTGCTGAGCCATTGTTTGAAAACCCAGCGCACCAAAACCATGACATAAAGTTCAATTTGGCAGATGACACGTTCACCCACCATACCTTTCCAGCGCTCTAGAAGAACTTCCGGGACAACGCCCCGGCACACTACTCTCCTTCCGGAGGCCAGGTCAATGAGCACAGCCCCAATTCCGGCTTCTCCCAGCATCCGTCCGTAAAGACAAGAATCGGCTGCCTCTCAGAGGTGACGTCTATGCGACGTGGGGTGGCAGCCTGGAGCATGGAAATCGCATAGCTGCAAAACGAAGACACTTCAGACCGAGCGCGCCATGCTGGTGCTAAGCGCCAAGACTTCCACGCACACCTGGTGCAAAAACTTCCCGCTGAAAAATCCACAAGCGTATCGCATGAGTCCATGTATCACTTGGCCCTGATGTCTCGTCAGACACCCTTCAGCTTGGATGCCCTGCAGCAGCTCTATCAAACGGTCAATACGCCCTGGTTTGTTCTCAAGGGTGAGCCCGCCAGAACATACCTCTGATAAGTTCAGGGAGCACCCCAAAACTTGAAAGCTTTGCTTGAAAGGAAGTGCTTTGCTACCGGTCTTTGCATGCCTCCACCCCAAAAGGTCCAAAAGCTGGGACGCTGCTGCATCCGCATCTTCAGCCAGTGACTCGGGAGCAAACATGGGGAAATCATCATAGAAAACTCCGCATGGTATCACTAACATCTTGTTGAGGAGAAACCAAATGCTGCGCGACACTCGATTGAAGCTGTAAACGGCTGCGCTGGCACCAAACATCAAAGAGTTGGCCACGAAGTACTTTGGCTGGCCTGTCTCGGTGTGAAAGAAGATCACCGCTAGATACCGGTCACCAGGGTGTATGGCCATCTGCTTGTAGGCCTTGCTCAAATCCAAGCATTTCCCAAGCCACTGCTCCACTCCTGGACCTTGAGCACTTTGAGTCAGGCGCTCAGCAATCTTAAGAGCCAAGCCAGTGATGTAGTCAATGTCCTGCAGCTTCAAGTATGATGTCACTGTGAAAGCATGGTTCAACTGGGCCTCTAAGCAATCGTCAATTGGGCGAAGCTTCATCTCTGCTCCCTGCACAAGAACAAACCGGCGTACCACACACCAGTCATCGCGCCCTAAATACTGGGTGACCTCGTCTTCACTAAAGAAAGGGCCTTCCATAAACCCAAGTTCCAGTTCTTCGCTTGCAGTGGACTCCAGGTGGTCGATGTGCTTAGGGTCCGCTTGAGTGCTACGGCCCACAATTGCCTTCCGCCTTCAGCAGGCAGAGGTCTGCAAGTCTTCAGCCACAAGGGTGGCTGGCCGCAAAAGAGAGGGGTAGCAGGGTGGTGCATCATGAGCCCCAACCAACCTGACGCCTTCAAACATGAAAGGAACAATGCCCATGTCATCATAGCCATACTTTTCAAGTAGCCCCTTCCACAGTAAAAGGCGCTTGCCGTTCAAGACCTTCGCAAGAGGTTCAGGCAATGAATCATGAAGCTTCTGCTCAGAGTCGGCCAGTTTGATAGCCATCAACCTTGCTTGTAAAAGGTTTTTCTTTCGTTCAAGCTTCACCACATGGCCTGGATATTGAAAAACAAAATCAAGTGCAAACTTTGTGACGCTCTCCAAATGATCTGTTGAATCCATTGGGTGCTGCACGTGGTGAGCTCTGGATAAAAACTGCTTAGGAGTATGATATACCCCATACTTTGCCGTATCGGCCAAGCTGTCCATTGGCATCCCCTTGCTTCCCGTGGTTTCACTGTCCTTTGCAAAGTTTGTATCCAAACCATTGGCATCTGCTGCAGGCAGGTTGTCATCAGCTGCGAAAAAGGGCTCAGCCTCCTCGTGAACTTCCTCCCCATTAAAATGAGGAGGCAGGTGCTTGGTTCCAGCAGGCGGCTGGCGATCTGCTGGCAGGACAATTATCTTGTAGTACTCTGGCACCAAAGGTCGGTGCTTTCTGGTTTGTCGGCCCTGCACTGCCACTGATTTGTCGTGCAACCTGAGAGGCTTGACAAGTTGATAGCCCTTGGATAAAAAGTATTGCAACAGGCATGCTGTAGCTCGTTGTGCCAACAAATGAGGGTAGTGCGCCTCCATGGAGGTGTCAAACTTCCAGGAACCAGCTTGCCATTGCACCCCCCAAGGTTCGTGGGGGTGGTCGTTGTTGCAGACCGCCTCCAACTTGTCAAAGACTCCAGGGGTTGAGAGCCATCCAGTGTGTTTCCGCCTTGAAGAGCCATGACAACAGGCATGAAATAGCACCATTTTAAAGCTGTTCAACGCCTTTGCGGCTTCATCTGAATGCTCCCTTGCTAAACAGACCAGGACTGCCCAAAGCCAACTATTGGCAGGGTTTTTCAACGCTCACTGCTATTCCCCTTCGGTAGCACCAAAGGATCACCTCAACAGCCAAAGCATAAAGGGCATTGGCGCTATCCACCCTACACTGGTGGTGTGGTGCCAAATTGGGCAGCCCCAACGGAAACTCCGCTGATCTGAGCGGAGGCGGCTCAGGTACGCCTGCTTGGCGCATGACTTTCGGTATGGGCAACTCACGAGCTCGGCTGCTGGTGCCGCAAGGTAAGCCCATGTGTACTGCTTCTAGTCCAGGGGCGTCCAAAATAGTCCAAAGAATTTCACGACCACTTTTCGATGTCAAATCCAAAGTTACCAGGGGTGCAAACGGTTGAGCCACTTCGTGGTCAATGCTGACTACCCGTACGCCCGCCTGAAGCGCAGCACGGGAAAAGGATCCCCTTCCAGCGAATATTTCGACAAATAAGGGTGGTGAATCTTGTTGTGAAACTTCCATTGCGTCGCCCGCATCCATCGCAAGTCAGTCAGTATGGGAAATAGTAGGGTTTGTTGCGAAAGCATCCCTTCTTGTAGCATTTATGATATCCCCTTGCACACCGTTTTCCTGCCGGGCCCTTGAACTTGCACTTGTTATTCTGAAATGCAAAGCACAATGGTCTGTTTTCATCATCGTGAGAAGTGCAACCCTCTGGTAGTTGCACTTTAGTGCTCCCAGTCTTGCCTGCTCCTTTTGCCCCGCCCTTGTTCGAAGTCTTGTCGATCTTCTGCTGCTTGTCGGGACGACTACCCGACGGATGTGGCGGTTCATGCACTCGGGTGGCAGGCAAAGGAGTAAGGTATTGTGTTACCTCTCCAGACTCTCGCAGCTCTGCAAAGATGGCATCGAGCGGCTTCACATTGTTCAAACCTTTCTGCAAGCTTCCCATGGTGCGGTGTGATGCCACCGTGAGCAACTGTTTGTCGCAATCCAAAATCTGTTGTAAAGAAATCTTTGCAAAGCCTCTGGGTTGGTCACGCAGCAGGTGGGAATACAAAAATTGCACCCACCCTGCTGAAACTGTAAAGCTGACAAGCCCTGCTAGATCCATCGCCAAATTGCGGCGCTGCCAAGCCGCCCTGAGTTTGATCTCAGAGCCCGCATCACAGTGAGCCTCTGTTGTCTGAGAAGCTAGCTTGAGCATGCCACTCGCATCTGTAGATACTGCTGGGTCCTTCTTGATTGCACTAATCTCTTGGGCACGGCTACAGCACAGCTCAGGCTTTGCGTAGGATAGGATCCCTACTTCCAGCATCTCCACAAACAAGTCAACTAGGTGAGTGGAGGGCGTCGTCTCCGGTGTGAAGACTATGCCTCCCAATCGCTCTTGCTGTTCCTGTTGTCTGGCAACTCTCTCAGCTGTCGCCAGCTTCCTTGTCACTGCAGATGGGTCTGGAGCACCTTCAACCCTCTGCCTCACATCTGTCAAAGCCATCGAATGTGACTCAAAGAACAGGCGGCGCATGCAAGACAGCTGGTCAGGTGTCGGCTGCTCATCCAAAAGGTCATTCAGGAAGTTGATGAGTGGAGTCTCATCCGTATGCTACGGTGAGTAAACCACTGCAAAAGCATAACGGCCAAACGCCGCAAAATTCTTGGCGACAAATTTGTCAATGCATCTATATCCTCCACTCCAATCTGCTTTGCCCGTTCTTTGAACGCTGCAGTTGACTCCAGTGTCGACGATGACATGAGCGCTAACACGTCGAGGTGGTCAAAAAGGGGGTGGAAATGATATTTCAAACAAAAACTGATATGTTTTCG